GATCGAAGAAGAGTATTTTTAATTTTATTGTTGCATAAACACGCGAGATATGATTATTTCATATTTTATGCGTTCGAGTATCGTTCCATCGTTATAAAATTTGGTGACTCTAAAAAGGGCCGATTTTTGCGCCTGTTTCAAATAATTATTGTTCCTTATTACTATGGATACAAAAATGCGACCCGTTTCTACTATTGACTATCGACCTCAACTGCTTCGACACATTCGAAATTTTCGTCGAAATTCGGGTTAACATATTCGGGCAGCATATCAAGTTCAAAATATTCCTGCAGTCTTCGAGCGTGTGAGATAATCAATGTTTCGACAATGTCATCTTTGTGTTGAAGCAAATGGAGGAATTTTTGAACATTTATTATAAATTGAACTAATCAATTGCATATTTTTGTTCCGTTCTTTTGTTCATTGTTTTTTGAAGATTAAAATATATATGTGTAATTGAAATAAATTTAATTTTTTCACTTATATGTTTGTTTTTTATTAAAATCATAAAATTCCTATTTTGTATCCTGTAGTATTAAAACAAAGCGTCGTAGAGAAAAACATTATTAACAAAATATGTTTGTTTTTATGTCCTCTATTTTCCCTCAAAGTTTGTCGGTCTAATTTTTTCACACCCTGTATATATCGTGCTCCCATATTAAATTAAATATTTAATGTATTGTGTACATAAGTTTTGTATATTTATTTATTGTTTTATTATCCTTTTTCCAAATTTTCCTTCCAAAATTACGTAGAACGTAGCGCGTGAAAGACGAGATTGATGAGAGATGATCTAGCTTTGTGATAAGATCGCCGCTAGCTCGCTTCTTGTGCTACGTCGCGCGGTCGCTCATTAATAGTGAGAGTAGAACAGAACGATTGGACGTTTATCTTTTTCTAACTTACCATCATTATATGGAAGTTATGGCTTCTGCACACAGGACGCGGTAATGTTTGTTGCGCGGCGGAAGTTCGCGCGACAGCCAATCAATATGCTGTTTTCCATAATAACCTTCTAGTTCTTACGGAAAAACAACATATTGATTGGCTGTCGCGCGGACTCTCGCTGCGCGGCAAGCATTACCGCGTCCTGTCTGCAGGAGCCACTGCGAAAGTGCGCCTGACGGACGTAGTTAGGCTCATTTTGGTTAGATGGCGTATCTAAAATGCGCTTAACTCTGGCCGCTGAAATCAGGGTAGCGATCATGAATCTTTCACGTAAACTTCATTTTCATTTTTCACTTTTCATTGTAAGTTATTTCACATGAAAAGTGAACAATGAAAATGTGGAAAGCAATATTTATGTAATATAGATTATTAAAATTAAAATGTAATTACAATATACACAATATAATATATAACACATTAATAAGCATCCCTTATAGAAATATCATACTAAGAATCATTGATAATTACTTATT